AGAATAAACTGTCTACAGCTCTTTTATATCATTGTCTTTGTCCATTAAGCTACATTACGTGTTTTATTTATAATGATGATTATTATAATTTATAATTTTCTATGGGAGGAAAATGTTAAATGTGCAATTTAATGCATTCCGTTCTGGGCTAGTCTGCTTGCCTGTACGGATTGATCCTTTTAATATCTCTTAATGCATTTCATAATGTACGTTCATATTTGCTGGTCTGTATATACTTTGAGTCAACAACAAGACATATAGGCTACTGTATTGTCTTTATCATCTTAGTCTGTTATTATGCCACATTAAGCGTTTTGCTGTATGGGAGGACAAGTGAAAGTTTGCGCATTGTGTTCATAGCCATCTGTTTGCCTTGTAGTACATTCAATAATAACTATATATAGAATTTGATCTTTTAATTGAACTTAATGTATCTTAATACATTAAGCCATATTAAGTGTTTATGTTTTTCTACAGGAGGAAAATGCTTAACGAGAGACTTTGTGCATTGTGTTCATATCCTGCTGTTCTGTGGCAACGGATTTGCGGGTCTTGTCTTTTTCATCAGGACCCTGTACGTTATGGTACTAAATTAGTTTTAATTGTTTAATCACCACCACAGCATCTTGTCTCCATTGGCAACACGCACGATTCGTGTCGATTGCAAGTGACGTCGCAGGTAGCGGAGAGTGCAAGTGAAGATTGCAAGCGACATTGTAATTTAGTTTCTTTTTTTCTTGTCTTCACCACCTGGCTACTGTTGTAAAATGTTGAGAGATTCAAACAAAAAGTAATCAATAAATAGAACGAAATAAAAAAGACTGCAAGTGATGTCAATTGCGGAAGCGCAAGTGTCTGAGAGTGCAAGTCTGAGAGTGCAAGTGCAAGTCTGCAGCCAGACTCTTCTCGCTCGATATGATACTTTTACCTTACGTTCTGCCTTTATGTTGTCTATTTTATTAAAATGCATCCAAATGCTATTTCGTTTGCGTGTTACTCATCTTCTTTTCTGACCTGATATTTAGGGCGATCTTTTCGCCGCACAGCTCGACCACACGCACTCCATGCAGTATGATAATGTGTAGCCATACTGTATTGTGACCATAGCATTGCGTCAAATCGAGAGCGGCGGGTACAGTAATTTCTTGCAGGAGTGCAAAATCAGTAATTAATAATCATAAAAAATAATTTGTCTATGTTACCTTTGGAAAGAAATCCATCTCTTATTTACAAAAGGCTACATGTTGGGTAAAAACTTTAACCATATTTCTGTTCCTCCCATTATTTCTAAACTACACATACTCAAAAACTAAATAACCAATAACCACAAGAAACATACCAATTAAAATTATCTTTATTTTCTAACTAAATCAAATTTATTTTATATGTTGATTAATTAATCCCCATTACCCTCATCCCCATTAATTCTTAACAGTTTCACTCTCAGTAAAGGCTTCTTCACTGATCTTCAGAGGGTCAGTCTGACTTCCAGCCTCAGTCACATCTGCACACATATAGAAATACAAATTATTTATGACGATACCTTTTGTTTCACACTAGATTATGCAATCAACAACATCAACTCATATGTAACACCATGTCTACAATCTATACACCAAGTGCCCACATGTTTAATAGTCAGATTGAATTCCTACATATGAAATGTTCACTTGCAATTTGCTATATTATACCCAGTAATATTCTTCTTAAACTGTGATGAAATAACATAACACATAACATGATTAACATTTAATTTAATATCTTACTTTGAAAACTAATAGTGTAACCTCAAAACTCACTGTTACTGTAGTATTTATACTGAGTCTGACCCACTGATCTATATAAATAACTGGATTGCTCATTGTTTTCTTAACTGCAATCAGGCTGTAAAGTCACCAGAAGTGACTAAGAAGCCATATTACTATTCCTCGCTGATAGAGGGCATCACTGACTGCCAGCCGAAACCTTGACCCAAAAGGAACCAGTTTACAGCATATATCACATTATCTCAGTAGAATGAGTGTAAATACTTCAAAATTCCAATATGACAGTATGGTGGCTTCACTTTTTATGACATAATCAATGCAGTTCTCTATTATAGATCAGTGGTTTGAGCATTTAACAAAAAATCAGCCAACAAAAAACACAAAATACATTTACATAGTACAAAAATATTACACAATTACAACATGACAATCATATATTTGGCAACATACAAAACAAAACTAAATGCTTACCATCACATGCACAGCTGAATGA